ATTTAAAACATAACACAACGAATAATTCTGACTTTAACTGTATATATAAAATTCACAGGAGGGGTGATTAATTTTGTCTTCTTTATGTGCATGTGATGTGAATGAATATGAATTTAAATTCAACAACAGTAACTGTAATGATTTACTGTAAATATTGCTGTACATAGTGTCCACACACTCCACACAAATGCCTAACTTCTGCATCCACCTTATTTTACAGGTTGGAAACAAAATGAAACAAAAAACAAAGCAAAAACAAACAAAACAAAGTAATAAAAATAGAATACAACAGAAACAAAATAAAAATAAACACAAAAAAATAATAATAAAAACAAAAACTAAAAAATACAAAACGAAACCTAAAACAGCAAAATACAAAACAAAACAACAACAAAAATTGCAACTGAAAACAAAACAAAATACAAAAACAAACAAAACTAAATAATACAAATAAAACAAAACAAAATACAAAACTGCAAAATAAAATGAAACAAAACAAAAATACATCAGAAAACAAAACTCCAAAATACAAAACAAAACCATAAAACAAAACTCAACACAAAATACAACAGAAAACAACAAAACAAAAACAAAGCAGCAAAACAAAACTAAACAAAAATACAACTGAAAAAAAGAAAATAAAACTAAAAACAAAACAAAAATACAACAGAAAACATAACAGAAAAATACAAAACAAAACGATAAAACAAAACCCAAAACTAAATACAACAGAAAACAAAACAAAATACAAAAACAAACAAAACAAAAAAATAAAACAGATTAAAATAAAACAAAATACAACAGAAAACAACAAAACAAAACCAAAACAGCAAAATAAAACAAAACAAAAATACAACAGAAAACAAAGCAGAAAATAAAACAAAATAAAAAACAAACAAACAAAAAAATAAAATAGAATTAAATAAACAAAATACAACAGAAAACAACAAAACAAAAACAAAACAGCAAAATAAAACAAAGCAAAAAATTAAAAACACAAAATACATAATAAAAAAAATAATAATAAAATAAAAAAACAAAACAAAAAAAGATTTTTTTTTAAAAAAAATCAAGCAGGTTGGCCAGAAATGGATGGCTTATGCATAAAATAAATCATTATTTCATATAACAATTTAATAAGATAAAATAAGTAATGGTTATTAAAATATGCAAAATGGCCAAGCAAGATCTAATCTTTTAATTCAACAAGTCAACCAAAGCCTCCCAACCATCTCAAAATGATCAACATTCCTGTATTTGTTCCTAATTTCACATACATACAGTAGAAAATAATAATCAGCAGCAGTGTCAGTTTAATCCATTATGACACAGAGCAGGTTATCAGGGTAATTTCCTGCCTCCTCTAACATACAGTAAAATCTACTGTGAGCTATGGTGGATAATCCAGACGTTATGCAGTTCACAGAATCTCAGGAAGAACTGGACATTTATACGTCAGACAAACACCGCGGTCATCAGTGTAAATCTGAGCTTTAGACAACAAGAGACTAAAATTAACATTACATCACACACAACTAACACACACCTTGACCTTCTGACTAATGCGGAGCGCAGCGATAGTTTATATAACCAGCAATCAGATGCAGAGTTTATCCACAATCTGGTTAAACTACCGCAAAGGTACTGGAATTTACTAAAGTTACTTACAAAAATAACTAGGTGCACAAAACACACAAAACAACTACTTAGACCTACTTAGGTTATGAAAACAATTCAAAACAATTGCAAAAAATTTATCAAAACTATTATTACTATTAAAATCACAAATAAATAAATTGCTAAAAAAATTATTAAATTAAGAATAATTTATAACTTAAATGACAAATAAAAAAATGCTAAATATTCTTCAATTAAATAAAAATTAAATACATCTAAAATTAAAATGACATTTAAATCGTTTAAAATGTAAATTATAATTAATTACAATAAACAAATAAATTAAATATTACAATTAAACAAAACAAATTTAATTAAGAAAAATTAAGAAGACTTATTAAGAATTACAAATAAATAAGCTACTAAAATAGATTTATTTAATTTTTAATTAAATTAGATTTTAAATAAATTAATTTAAAACTAAAATAACATTTAATTAAAATTTAATTACAATTAAACTTACAACAAACAAACTGAATTAAATTAAATGTTACAATTAAACAAAACAAATTAAGAATAATTTTAAAATTAAAATGACAAAAAAATTAAATTGCTAAAAATATCTTTAATTATAATTAAAAATGTATTAAATTAATTAAAAAATAAAATCAAAATTACATTTAATTACAATTAAAATTACAAAAAACAAGCAGAATTAAATTAAATAAAGTTGGTGGTTCATTCCGCTGTGGCAACCCCAGACTAATAAATAAATAAATAAATAAATAAATAAATATATATATATATATATATATATATATATATATATATATATATATATATATATATAGATATATATATAGATAGATATATATATAGACGTATAGAAACCACAAGTGACCTCATGTGGACGGATTGATTTGTGGACTGATTTTAGTGAGTGATAGTGAATCAGCAAATCCTCTGACGAAGCGGATTATTGAAATGACACAGATGTGACACACTTACGACACAATAAAAACAGCATGAATCTTCCCTCAGGGACGCAAAACACAAGTCAAGCCTCACAGTCCTGATAAACCAGCATGATGAGGCGAGAAGTGCAGCTAATCGCAGACAGACGACACACTCTTACTCACCACACACACCATAAATCACCATAGTGAGCGAATGCAGTCGTGTTATTCCGATCCCACAGTTCTCACATGTGAAGATCTGATGAGATTTATTCTAGAGTAATAAATCTGTGTCAGCTTTATTAATGCACGCGTCATTGGCAGATCATTTGAAATGTTCTTTATTATTCATAACCAAGGCTGGATTTACAATATTTGACCAAAATGCCACAAAAACAACAACAAAAATGTCTGAATAATTACTATTATTTTAATTAATGATTATTTTTGCCTCAACACATTATGACTGGCTATTTATGCGCAGATTTCAGCTTTACAGCTTTTTTTTACAGTGGCAGTGCGTCGACACATGCACTCCAGTGCTCACGGCGACCCGAGTTATGCTGCGTTCACATCAGACGCGGAACGCGCGGATAAATCACGCTATTCGCGCGTATATAGCCACGTGAACATTTGAGTTTACTCACTTCATTCGCGCGTCAAATTCACTTCAGAACAGACGTGGATTCGTGTGATGGACCGGGCTTCTGTCTGGCCGGTGACTCTAGCTTCATTGCTAAATGGCTAACATGGATTTTATTGATAAAATAACTGTTTATGTGCTTTATGAAGAGTGAAAAACAGCGTCAATACGTTTAGGGTCGTGTCTGAGTCCACTAGATAATTTCAGAGGTGCAGCAGCTCTGTGAGCTCATAGACTCCTCCAGAAACTGAACCAGGATGACGGAGGCTTTCAGCGGTGCTTCTGACTGAGCCAAGCCCAGTTTGATGAACTGTTGTCGGTGTCTGCAGGAGGATTTCCCCCGGGACACTAACAACAGGTGTACATCACAATCACACCCCCACAAGAGCAAGCTACTGATTGGTTAACACAGCGCGAATGTCCGCTGAAATTCAGACTTTCGTACTCAAGCAATTCGCGCGGAATGCACGCCAAACGATCAATTCCCGCCGTGGAATTCGCGGAATATCGCACCGCAGAATGTCTATTTGCACGTTTACATTGACTTAACATGTAAATTACAAAAAAAATATTATAATAAATAAATAAATAAATAAGGCGATGTAGTGGCGCAGTAGGTAGTGCTGTCGCCTCACAGCAAGAAGGTCGCTGGTTCGAACCTCGGCTCAGTTGGTGTTTCTGTGTGGAGTTTGCATGTTCTCCCTGCCTTCGCGTGGGTTTCCTCTGGGTGCTCCGGTTTCCCCCATAGTCCAAACACATGCGGTACAGGTGAATTGGGTAGGCTAAATTATCCGTAGTGTATGAGTGTGTGTGTGTGAATGTGTTTGTGGATGTTTCCCAGAGATGGGTTGCAGCTGGAAGGGCATCCGCTGCGTAGAAACTTGCTGGATAAGTTGGCGGTTCATTCCGCTGTGGCGACCCCGGATTAATAAAGGGACTAAGCCGACAAGAAAATGAATGAATGAATGAATAAATAAATAAATAAATAAATAAATAAAAATGATTCCAGCCAAACTAAAAAGATAAAGTTATTCATTAAAAACAGTGTAGCCTAAAACTGCTGTAGTCAAATAATGAATCAACATAACATTATGTTGTGTTTTGTAATATTTTCCAAACATAAAATGTCTTTAATATATAATATTATATAAGTATATAATCTAAATCTCCTGCTTGATAAGAATTGGTCACAGTACCATCCAAATCAGTCATCAACTCATTTTAAAGGGGACCTATTATGCAGAAATCACTTTTATAAGGGGTGTAAACACAGGTGTGTGTCAGCAATGTGCGAATATAAGCAGCTTCTAATAGTAAACATGTATTAATTCTATTATTTATAATCAGACTTGATCAAAGCCGTCTGCAGAAACACTTTGATTGACATTCTCCCTTTGTATGATGTCATCAGAGTGGAAAAGCTCCGCCCACTAGTGACCATCTCTCCCTCATTAGCATAAGACGTTAGTCTTGTTTGTTAATCTGCCACTATGCTGACATATAGGCATTCATAGCTCCACCCTCTTCTATAAAGAGCTCAATCTCATTTGAATTTAAAGCGACAGTCACCAAAACACCACACGATTACGATGAAAGCCTGAAAGGGGTCAGTTTCAGAGAGTTAATAAACATTATTAGTGGATTTAAAACTTCACACACACACACTAGCGACATAACCTTGTAATTTTAGTCACCCTCAATGTCAATAATCTCATGTTTTGCTCTGCGTACATAAGCTCATGTCATATTTTCTGATTTTTTGGCAGTAATCTGTGTGTTCTCACCTATCTGCAGGAGCACCGGTGTGACCAGCGCCGTCTCCATGGCGTAGCAGAACTCCCGTCCGAACATGACGGCTCCGTGCATGATCCACTGCCGCAGAGGGATGCGATCTATAGATCCCTCGCTGACCGACTCCTCCTGACTCTCCAAGTCCCGCCCACCAGCTCCACCCACTCCGTTAGCCCCGCCTCCTCCTGCCAGCTTCTCCACAGGCGTCAGCATCTGCACGCCGTCTGCGTCGCTGTTCTGCGGAGCCATCGCCGCCGCCGCCGGCATGCAGATCACACGCGGATAACACACACAGGATAACGCGGAAATGTAGAGCAGGAAGCAGCAGTGGATGGAGAAAAGGCTCAAGGTGTGATGAACATCCTCAAATGATGAAGGCGTTTTGCATTTGTGGACGATTGCAGAGGATGTGACTCTATCATAAGGTCACTCCTGCTGGCGTGTGTTTGTGTGTGGGAGTGTGTGTGTGGGTGTATGTGCATGTATGTGTGTGTTTACTGTCTACTGGAAACAGTAAAAATCCATATCAATTGCCATTCAGTTAATACCAGTTTCATGATTTGTATGGAGGCGGTGCTGTAGAGGGTGGAGGGCAGGCCGAGGGGTGAAGGGCGGGAGAAACCAGACGGAAAGCACCGGAGAATCCCCATGGAGCGACTGATCAATCTGGAAGAGAATTAGAGAGAGAGGATGTGACTCGACTAAAATTATACATTTTAATGCGTATACTTAAAGGGTTAGTTCACCCAAAAAAATGAACACAAAATGAGATACTCAGAGGAATGTTGGGATAAAATAGCCATTGACATTTAGAGTAGGACTAAAAAAATACCATGGAAATCAATGAATTATGCATTTAAACGAACGTACTTTTATGTGCCTACATTAGTGCATTTTCATATATGTACAGTTGAAGTCAGAATTATTAGCCCCCCCCTTTGAATTAATTTTATTTTTTAAATATTTCCCAAATGATGATAATAGAGCAAGGAATTGTTCACAGTATTTCCTAAAATATTTTTTCTTCTGGAAAAAGTCTTATTTGTTTTATTTCAGCTAGAATAAAAGCAGTTTTTAATTTTTTAAGAGCCATTTTAAAGTCAATATTATTAGCCCCTTTATTTATTTTTTTTATTATTTTTTTTATTATGCGAAAATCATACAAATACAAGAAAACATCAACAAATAACAAATACAAAGCATCAAAACAAAAACAACAACAATATAGTCAGGTACTGGTATGTGCGTGAGTGTGCGTGTGTGTGTGTGTGTATGCATGTAAAGGTAACTAGGTGGACAGGTCAGAGTACATACATAAGGAACAATAACAGTCAATAAATGAAGCAAGTGTCACAGATATAAATAAAACATATAGAAAGAAACCAGTCAGAGGTAGGGAGAAACAACAATGCTTATTAATGTATGATAGCCCCTTTAAGCTATTTATTTTTTCGATAGAGTACAGAACAAACCATCGTTATACAATAACTTGCCTAATTACCCTAACCTGCCTAGTTAACCTAATTACTCTAGTGAAGCCTTTAAATGTCACTTTAAGCTGTATAGAAGTGTCTTGAAGAATATCTAGTCAAATATTATTTACTGTCATCATGACAAAGATAAAATAAATCAGTTATTAGAGATGAGTTATTAACACTAATATATTTAGAAAGGTGTTGAAAAAAATCTGTTCTCTGTTAAACAGAAATTGCGAGAGAGAAAACTAACAGGGGGGCTAATAATTCTGACTTCAACTGTACATTTACATATGCTTTTATACTCATAAAATACTGCATTTGCATGTGTTTTATGTATGCATATGTACTTTAAATGCATATAAATGAATGCATGCATTTATACATGTGCGCTAATGCATGCCATTTTATTTACTTTTATTAATTTTATATTATTTTATGCATATTTATACATTTACATTAACAAATATATGCTTATATTTTTACATTAATTAATGTGATTTTTGGGTTTACTTTTATTCAATTTACATTATTTTTATACATTTATTTTTATGCCTGTGCAATATAGCATTTACATGTACTTATACCTTTTTTACATTAATGTATAGAATTTTAGGGTTTGCTTTTATTAAATTTAATTATTTTTATACATTTATTTTTATGCATGTGCAATAATGCATTTACATGTACTTATACCCTTTTTTACATTACTGTATAGAATTTTAGGGTTTGCTTTTATTACATTTACATTATTGTTATAGAATTATTTTTATGCATGTGTAATAAAGGCATTTTATTACTAAAATGTATAGTTTTTTACATTAATGCATATACATTTTGGGTTAATTTTTATTAAATGTACATTATTTTTTATACATTTTTTGTTATGCATATGCTATAATGCATTTACATGTACTTATATTCGTTTTTTACATTAATGTATGCAAATTTTGGGTTTAGTTTTATTAAATTTACATTATTTTTATACATTTATGCATGGCATTTACACATACTTATATAACATTTTTACATTAATGCATGCAATTTTTAGCTTTACTTTTGTGCATTCACATTAATGCATATACACAAATATAATTACAAAAATGCATGCAGTTTGTTTGGCTTACATATTTCGACCATGTTAAAATGTTAAAATGTTTTTTTTTTGAAGATATTTTATGTATGATATTTCTGTTCGAAAATAAATAAATCAAATTAAATCAAAGGATTGTTGTTTCACTCAAATTTGGTAAATTAATGCTAATGAGTCAAAGTAAACCTAAAAATTTCATTCATTAATGTCAAAAAATGGATATAAGTACATGTGAATGCATTATTAAATGTACCATATTTTAGGTTTTTACATTAATGCATGCAATTTTTTTGGTTTACTTTTATTAAATGTACATTATTTGTTTCACATGCATAAAATAAAATTTATAACAATAATGCAAACCCTACAATGACATACATTAATGTAAAAACATAACATATATTTGTTTAATGTAAATGCATAAAGGTACATGTAAATGCATTGCAAATGCATAAAAAAAAATAAATGACCGCACCCACAATTATTCAGTCTAAAATGACAGAAAAGGGTTAAATGCATTAATAATGCTCCACGTTGTCTTGCGGCAGTTGTCCAGAATCTGTCCTGTTCTTGCATTCGAATTCAAAAGCATAATCTGAGGTTCTCGAGTTCAGCTCCGAAACAAAAACAGCAGAATTAACATATTTGCCAGGATCATACGCTGCGCTTTCAGAGATTACAGCGGCTGTAAAATGTGGCACGTTTCAGGACAGGGCAGAAATTCATGCTAAAACCCCCGAGCATTAAAGTGTGCGCAAACAATCAGCTCTGCAGTGGCACTTCATAACCCTCTTACCAATGGCTGAGATGTGAAATTAATCTGCGTGCGGTCTTTAAGACTCATGGCTCAGGGCTCAGGCTTCAGTAACAGAGCTGACATTGTGTTTCGTGCGCTCGGGTCTCCTGATTAGACCACGCTGCTATTTACAGACGCCAGCAGAAAGAGGAAAGGAATACAGCATTTCCTCAACAACAACAACTACACAACTGGACACTAAATCCCTCAGACCGGCTGTTGATAAGTGACACCGCTGTTTCCCTTTTAAACACGAGCTTTATAGTTTTAAAGGGGACCTATTATGCAGAAATCACTTTTATAAGGGGTGTAAACACAGGTGTGTGCCTGCAATGTGTGAATATAAGCAGCTTCTAATAGTAAACATGTATTAATTCTATTATTTATAACCAGACTTGATTAAAACAGGCTGCAGAAACACTTTGATTGACATTCTCCCTTTGTATGATGTCATCAGAGTGGAAAAGCTCCGCCCACAAGTGACAATCTATCCCTCATTAGCATATGACATTAGTCCTGTCGTTCAATTTGCCACTATGCTGACACAAAGGCATGCATAGCTCCGCCCTCTTCTATAAAGAGCACAATCTCATTTGAATTTAAAGCGACAGTCACCAAAACACCACACGATTAGGATCAAAGCCTAAAAGGGGTCAGTTTCAGAGAGTTTATAAACTTTGTTTGTGTGCTATTTTAAGCAGAAACTTCACACACACACTCTCTATAGGGACAGTAAACATCTTGTAAAATGGGGCGTGCTCTAACAGGAGGCTGGTTGATGAGATAACACAACTACTATCAGCTCTCTTCTGAAGTGTGGCCTGTTTCAGTGGTGCACTAGGAACAGCTGATTCGGGTCACAGGGGCGACGGGCTGATCTGCCAGCTGATTGGTTATCTAATGCTCAGTCAATAGGACACACGGCGCTGATCTGAAATCTGCTTATGGAGATGCAGCAGAGATTTAAGGTGTCATACACAACGAGCAGCATAATTATTGAAGCCAAGCCACAGATACTGCCATTACACCAAAAGCATACTTAGACATACAAGTATGGAGCTAAATTAGTGCCAAAAGCTTGTCGAATAGCACTCACTGAACGTAAAGCTAATGCATTGAATTAAAAAGCGGCTCAGTGGTTAGCACGGTCACCTCACAGCATGAAGATTTGCTGGTTTGAGTCCCGACTGGCTCAATGGCTTTTCTGTGTGGAGTTTGCATGTTCTCCCTGTGTTGGCATGGGTTTGCTCCGGTTTCCCCCACAGTCCAAACGCATGTGCTATATGAACTAAATTGATTGTAGTGTATGAGGGTGTGAATGAGTGTGTATGGGTGTTTCCCAGTTTTGGATTGCTGCTGGTTGGGCATCCGCTGCGTAAGACATATGCTGGAATAGTTGGCGGTTCATTCTGCTGTGGCGACCCCTGATAAATGAAGGGACTAAGCAGAAGGAAAATAAACAACTGAACATTACTGAAATCTTCTTAGTAATTATGTCAGTGTCTCTCACGTCATCAGAAGTGAAGTGTTGGGCTTCAGAAAGCAAGGACGTCCACTGAGACCTGAACCATCGCATATGAAAGAGTGAAATTTAATTGAACTCTTGCTGTTCAAAGTTCTCTCAAATGAGCGGAAAAAATAATCTAATGTCAGAGAATTGATTTTCTTCTTCCCGGATGGACATCATACACATGAGTAATGTTAATCCATTAGACATGAAGACATCAAAGAGGAAACCAGATATCAATTACTCACACGCTAACACACAGACACACACGCACACACACAAGACAGTTAGATAGATATACAGACACCCCTATATTTTGTAGACTATCCATTTACAATATATATATATATATATATATATATATATATATATATATATATATATATATATATATATATATATATATATATATATATATATATATA